GCACGTACGGTCCGCGCGTACGGTGGTCGTACGGTATGGCACGCGCGCGTGCGGTGCACACGTACGTGCGGCGCGCATGCGCGCGCGTGTACGGTGTACCGCGCACGCGCGCGGTGTACGTGTGCGGAGCGCGCAGTGCGCGTGTGTGGCGCGCGTGAGACTCGTGTCTGTTGCGCAGCCAGCGCGTTCAGCTGCTGATGCTTTTGAACCCAGCTTCAGGTCATTGGGTTTGCTTTGCTTTCTCAGTAACAAGCAATACCCACACTCATTGACTCCAATGTGAGGACGCGCCGGTTTTCCACAAGCATACACTTAAGGGCAAGAGCTGCTCCAGATGCAGGCGTTGGGGTTCCAGAAAAAGGTTTTGGACGCTTCTCAGAAATCAGATGACGGACCTGGCTGGAAACTGGTCCCCGGACATCAAAATATAGTATGTAGGCTTTGACACTTGACAACCATGGCGACGGTTGCTTGAATCTTTCTTTTCAGTAGACTTTTCAGATTGCAGGACCTATAACGAATCACTCTACTCTAGAATCTGGAGACCCGAACTTCATACTGGTCCGATTCACACTGGTCCACAACATAGATGGGATTGATGATTTTCAGGGCTGCCGACCCCACGCCAAAGGCATGTGTATGTGTAAACGCATGGGTACTTAAGCCTGAAGCTTGTGAAACGTCTAAGCTGAATCCGCAAGGGGCTTATCGGGTTGTTTCTTAGCTAAACGCCGGTGATATTGGTGGTCATGACCACTTCAAGCAAACAATAAACCGGTATCTTTCTTAAAGATCTGTTGATGCACTCTAGTCTGCGGATCACTGCAACATCAACTCTCAAGAAGCGGACAGGCGCTGGGAATGTCAGACACCATTAGCGTCTGGGACAAAACGCTCTCAACATGTTGCCCCTTTGCGTCGCCAGCGTCACCAGCAAATCCAAACATGACATTTGAATTGTAGAAACAAAACTAAAGAAACAAATTGAGACTAGCGAAGTTCGGGCGGCTGTGTCTGTCGAGTATTCCAGCTGAGTATCCCGCGCAATGTGTTGAAATCGTTTTCTTGATTAAAAAACACTGGTGATGATGCTCAAAGTGATGACCGCTGTAAGTAAACAACAAATCGTTTCCTTTGCTAAAGCATTGGTGATGCTGAGGGACCTACTCTAGTCTACGGTGGCCTAGAAGGAATCGAATTCCAAAGGCCCAAAGGACAGTTTGCGCTGCGTCACTTATGATTCCGATCTACATGCATATATGTATGTATGTGGACATAACAGGAACGCAGCAGCACCATCCTCAACACCACCAGCGCAAGCATTCCCTGGACCAAAACACAAGTGATGCTGGGGAAGACCTGATGTGAGGTTGCGAAATTTGCACTCAAGATCATAGGACCTTTTCTTGGGCATCATGCTTGTTTGGCGATAGCCTGCTTCCGTTCAGTGTCTTGCCAACGTTGCCAAATTTGACCTACTTCATTCTCGACGCTTGTTTAGCCCTACGTGCTTGGGGGCCAAACAACATAAAAAGAAGCCCGCTTCCAGCAATGCGCTCGGAAGGTCTGCTCAGCCATCAAGAAATCCCTTACCATTAAGATCCATAAGAGCCAGCGGCGCAGGTAAAAGCTATTCTGGATGGAGAGTGAAGTACAGTAATGACGATACGAGCCCGGGCCCTACATCTACGCCGGACTCATCGCTGGCAGCAAACACATAACGCTGAATTTTGAGTCTGAGCTGGACAGTTAATGAAGCGAATTAATGAAGCAACCGCCCTTTCTTTTTGAAGGAGGGGTGTGCGGATACTGTAACTACACAACAACCGCTAACGTTGAATCTACAGAGACTTCAAAACTTTGAGACACATTGGCTACAATTCCTACTTAGCTCATTAATTGCAGCTTCACCTCACCTTCATTCAACAGCTCCCAAAAAGCTGTCAAACGCAACCTTGCCTTCAATTTGTCTCCCCTGCGAGATTTGAGACCAGCCCGCGCTTGAGCATCTTCATTGCTAGCGTGATTGAACCATCCTACGCAAGATCTGGACGCTTTGGTGAAAGAGTTGCTTGTCCATGTTCATTGTTTTGACGGTTCCGTCGTTCGTCGCTTAAAACTTGGTCCAAAGGGTCATAGTCCCTCAGGAAACAATGGACTTTTATTGTTTTTGCACTCGATGATCCCAATCCGGTACTAGGGTCGTTCGTTATCTTTGTTAGCGTTGTGATTTGTTCTGTCATGTTTTGTTTTATGAGTTTATGCCCATTTTCCCACAGCAGCCAAGGCTACAGGAACATGACACTCGAGATGATCTCCTGGCTGTTTGCGTGCTTGGCGCTTGAGAAACTCTCATCAACACTCATCTCAGGCAAGATTAGTAGTAAGTAGTACAGTATGCGCGGCCGGCCCTGTGACAAACTACATGTCTTTTGGCAGACCACTCCAGAAAAAGCCAAGGTTGAGTCTGAGTTGCGGCTGGGCTGAAAAAGAGATGAGATCTGTGTGGCCTGGTCTTGCGGTGCGCAAGCTCTGCTTGTTTTTGCTGGGCCTGATGCCAGCTGACCAGCATGTGAGCAGAAACATGTGCCTCATGATATATGTCAATCAATCGCGATCATTTTATCAAATTATAGTTCATACACTGAATGTACACGTGCGATGTTTACTTCATATGCAAGTGGTTGCGTGCGCAGCTGCGCGTGAAAACGCACAACCGACTTCGAAAAACACATCATATTTGGACAAACAAATCAGGTGTGGAAAAAACAAAACTTCTCGGCACACACACACTTTCGCCGCAAAGTCTGAGTGTGCTAGACCGAAGTGGACCACACTGCGCGCCCGCCGCACCGGATGCGGCATCGCGCGCGCCGTGCGCGCACCGCGCGCACACCGCACGCGCGTCGCACGTGCACCGCGCACACACTGCGCGCACCGTACGCGCACCGTACGCGCAACGTACGCGCGCCGTACGCGCACCGTACGCGCGCCGCGCGCCAACTGTACGCACGCATCGCGCACTGTACGCGCACCCCACCGTACACATACGGTAGCCCCCTATCATGGAAGGCTCTTTCATGACTCTCGAATTTAGCTAAGTTTTGTTGATGCTTCCCCCGCACCTTGCGGATCAGGACCGGCTACCACTGTTCCAGTGAGGCCTCCAGTCATGGGTGGTCGAGCCACCCTGGCTCTCAGAGTTGCCTAGTTTGGATCTGGAAATACAAGTAATCACCTTTTGGGCTGCCACTAAAAAGGGTATCAAACATGGAAAGCCAAAAGGTCAAAAGGTCGAAGTCGTACATGTTCCTCCCAAATCCAGCATGGGCTACAGAATAAAGACGCCGATGTGATAGCACCTGTCTCCTTGTCCACATCTCTACCGCCGAACCATGCCATTTGCTTCATGGCATGTTCCCTGTCACGCGCTTGTGTTCTATGACTCTTTCTCTCTCTCTCTTTCTCTAAGTGCCGTGGGTGTCCTCCAAATAACCAAGCATATGCCCCCCGCAACAAACAAAAAGAAAGGACGCATCAATGGAATTTCAGGGGCCGAACTGCAAACTTCCAATGACATGCACAGATCTCAGTCCTGCCCAAAGGCCCTGAACCTTTCGGCACGGGCTGAGTCGCCTTCCAGCTCTGGTCGGGCGAGCATGCCTCGCCGGGTCTTCCCTTTGTTGGGGGGGGAGCCGGGCTACAGTCTTTGGCCAAACGAGCGGCTGTCTGCATGGACACGTCAACTTCTTAGGCTGGTTGGGGAACATGAAGGACATGCAAAAAGCAAAAAAGGCAAAAGATGGCCAAACATGTTGGCTGCACGGAGGGCAAAATGACACCACAGACCATGGCCGCACCAAAAGCCGTATTCAATCTAAAATAGTTTCCACTGCTCGCTATCACCCTTGCGTGGGGTTTAATGAGATATACAAACACAATATAAAGGGTGTGACTGGCAGGAAGCAACCCTACAAAAGAACAATATTTCGGGGGGGGATGCTGACGTTCGAAAAGACCTGCAAAGGTGTGGGGTGTGGTGGGGTGTGGGATGTGGGGTGTGGGGTGCGGGGTGGGGTTTGCCAACCAAAGAACTTACAAATCTACGCTTGGGGGTGGAGGGGTCGAAAGAACCAGCACCTACGCACGCCAGCAAAGGGTGTGCGCCAGCATGACCCTGATCACGGGGTTGGGGGGCCTGCTAACTTTCGAAACAACCTGCAGACCTGCGCTCAAACTCCCCTGTCAAATCCCCTCTAGAAACGGGCCAACTCCGCTCCAATCCCTCCAGAAACCGGCAAAATTAGAAACCAGCCCCCTAGAAATTTGCACCTTCGCTTGGCCCAAGCCCACTGCCATTCTGCAGCTCTCTGCGGCTCTCTTTCCGGCCCTTGAAGCCATGTCATGGAAATGCACGGACATGCACCCACCCTCTATGTTGGAAACCACCTCACGCATTTCGGCGCCGAATCACTCACTCTAACAAACACAACACTTCAAGGCAAACCAAAACACAGTATATACCTCAAAACCAAAAAAGCGGAGGCGGGCAGCGCGAAACGTTTACAATCAACCAAGTAGTAGTTAAAGACTTGAGAACATCAAGCGCCTCTGTCATCATGCACCCCTCTTCTCGACAACGCTGACAAGAGGCCTTGCGTAAAGCAAACAAAGACTTTAAAACACCAACGCAAAGCCGCAAAGACGTAAGGGTCTGCAGATTGACCAGATTAGAGGGCCCGACGTGTACAGACGAGGTGCACAGACGAGGGGCTTGTGCACAGATGACCCATCAAAACCTAATACGGTCTAGTAGTACCCTTTTTGGGGGGCCCCTGACAACCATTCTAGGGGTACCTTCCCCATTCTTTCCAGGGATCCTTCTTTCTAGAAAACCTCCACAATCCCAGGGAAAACGCCCTAAAACCATAGGATACTTAAGCAGCTTGCACAGCAAATATGGCATCGCCTTTTCCCTTCGCCATCGACGGATCCGCATCTCACAAGCGGCTGCCCAGCAACGCGGCATAGGTCCCCAGGGCTGCAAAGAGCACATCGTTGTGCCCGCAGCCCTGAGAGAAAAAACAAAAAACGAGCGCTTTGATCCAGAAACAAAAAAAACCCCCCTCCCCCACCCACACACACCCCAGGAAAAGTTTCTTAGAACCCTCTTCTGGTTCTAAGACGTTTTTCTGTGGGGTGGGCCCCATCATAGTTTGCAACCCGGAACAAAGAGTTTCAGGCTGCGAGTGCCCTATTCTGGATGGAATGACATGGGCTTGTCTCTTGTTACCTCGCAAGTAAAGGAGTCTCTTGACCATGGCACATGTCTGGCAAACAAAATGAAGAAATTCCACATCGTCATCTGCACTTACTCTAGTCTCAGCTGTTCAAAGGACCCACAAATCACATGACGACCCAAATTAACAGGGCTCCAAACATATTCCCCAACTAATCACTCCACTGAACTGAAACTACCAGTTCATGAGCCCCAAAAGCGATGTTAAACTCCCAGGGCCAACCTGAACCGCTCCTCCGGCTGAACGAGCTGGCAGCTCTTGCCCTGCTTCTCCACGAACTTCTGGAGTTCCTCACCCATCGAACAACCCGACAACCCGAAAGACAACGACACCGCGGGGTTGCGAGGTTAATACCCCTTTTGGAATCTGGTCAAGGAAGGCGGATCCTTTGGGGTGTCGGTAGCGTGGTGTTTCTGTTTAAAGTCAACCAAAAATGCCTTGAAAAAGACACGCACATTTTTGCGTCTGGGACAGTCCTGTCCCTGCGCGACAGGCACGATCTCATCCCGCTTCGGGTGCACGATAAAGACCTTCGGCTCTCAGAGGGTTAAGACATAAGCCACAAAGCTGCGGGCCGTTCCGCCCCTTTAGGCAGAAAAAACAGAGCATGTTCCCCCCCCCCCCCCGTCGTAAGGCTGGCACCCTCACCAGAACCTTGGGGGCCGTTGCACTGATCATGTATCCATCTAGTGACTTCATGAAGGGATATGCTGTGCGTGTCACCGAAAAGAAGCAGAGTTGCTCCAAACAAATCCGCAAAATGGTCGAATCTTTGGGCCCAGCGAAACTCAGGGAACCCGGCCGATGTTTTCTCCTTGTGAACTAAAATGGCTCCGAGCCCGGAGAAACCTCTGATGTACACAGCAAGTCCTGAGCCTACTGTGGATGGTTGCGAAACCCCTTTTGCACCACCTAAAATCAAAGCCACAGTATCAATCCTAGACCTTCTTGGGCCAACCACCTGAACATTCCTTCACTATCTTCGACTCTCATCACTCGAGCGTTTTGGCAGACGAATCCTTGGTTTTCGGCTTCCTGCCCACGCCAAAGTGCGGTTTACCAACTTTATCCCCGCTTTAACACCCAGAGGCAGATCTGAAAGGCCAGTTTTTGACTACCCCAAGGTAGACTTCAACCCAGGGGTGCTGGGTTCAAGTCCACCTTGTCCAAAAATATCCAAAAATGGGGAAGCCCCTGCCCAAGCCTCCCATTCCTGCGCGCACGCGCCTGCCAGCCGCCGGCCGCCGCGGCTGGCACCGCCTTTGCGTTGTCCCAGTGATGGGTGATGAGGCCCCGCAGCAGCCATCGCGGGCCCCCCAGGAGCACTGAGGCCATGTCCTAGGCTCTCTCTTTCCGGTCCCCGAGACCGTTTTCTTTTTCTTGGGTTGGGGGGGGGATCAAAGGCCTGCTCGTACTTATCGTGGGCTCCTGCAACGGCAAGATAGACCACTTGAGTGGTTTGCCCCAAACTGAAGTGCAAAAGCAGTTTGCTTGCCACTCAAATGGTCTTCCCAAAATTGTCTCACGCCCAGGGACTCAAGAAGTAAGTTATAATATGTAACTATACATTAAATAAACATGGCGGTTGTCTGAAATTCCTTGCCCCCGGAAACAGCATCTTTGCGGAAACACATCATCGCTATAAAGTCAGCAGCAATACATTTCATTTGTACAAACACACGCAACAGCTACATCCTCCAAATTTCTACCTTATTTCAACTTTGTCTCGCGCGATTGGGCGGTCCCGAGAGAGAAAAAGAGCCTCTGCAGCAAGAGCGTCGCTTCAAATCTAGGGCCAATTTGTTCCTAATAAGATTTACTAAGCCCCTAACTGAGGGCGGAGTGCTCTTTGACGGATGTGGGGTTCCTGAAGTATGAGTGGGTTTATGCGCAAGTAGTATGTTCTGAGTTTATTCAACAGTGCCAATTGTGTTCGAAAACCCCAGGGATTGGCAGGCTTAAAGGTGGTGCTATCGATCTTGATAGATTGCTGGATTCATGCAAGCCACACTCTCACACATTAATGACTAAAGCACCCCCAAAAAAATCAATAAATAATAAAATGAAACACACACACACACATACGCATGGTACGGAGACCTCCGGAACGTCCAAGCTGCTCGAAACCAACCCCGAATAAACCTATTTGGGCCTGTCGACCCCATACCTTGAGGTTCAAAAAACATTAAAAAAAAACAAAGTCGAGGATAGCTGCCTAAGCCTGGGCTCAATACAGCACGGCGACCGCAATTATTTCGCAATGATGCTTGTGTTTTCCCAACCTTGCTTGCTAGCACGGCGTCGAAATAGAGTGGTGAAGAGTGTCTCGGCCAAGTCTTAAACATCAAGCAGGGGGCTCTTGCGTTTGAAGCCGCCGGTTCGTGCCTAATGTGAGTAATCGCGCACAGGACTTCACCTTAAGTAATATGCAGGGCCTGTCCCTCAAAAGAGGCATTGTGAAGAGCGTGGCAAAATGTTAACTAATTAATCATGATTGTCATCAACAAGGGGTTCTACGGGACAACTATAAAGCTCTTGCATGCAGCAAGGTGGAGCAAGCGCTGCCAGAACTGTGGATGCACACTTGACAGCCAAACCAGCCCCTGTAGAAGTAGATGACTCGACTGCGCCCTGCTATCTCATTGCAAGCTTTTTACGCGCTCAGCAAACAAACACAGCTCCGGTTTGACACCTTTTATCCAAGTTTGGCCCATCCATTCACTGCTTTCACAGCAACTAAGGCTAGATCAAGAAGAAGCCTCTCTTGTCTATCCCTTGCTTGTCAAAGCGGCTTCCTTGGGACTCTCGACGTTAGCCATGGCTGGTCATTAAAAGAAAAACAACTTGCTAGTTACATCTGTTTGGCCCTCTTTCGGCGAGGAAGACAGTCAGCTCAGCAGGTTTGGGCCGCGAGCAAGATATCGCCGAGACTGGGCGATTTGGGCACAGGTCGTTCACGCCGAACAAAAAGGGTTCACGCCAAACAAAGGTCGTTCACGGTAGTTTCACACCAGTTTCACATGCCTGTGATTTTTAAGCGCTGTATTTTTCCAGGTGAGTGGTGTTTTTATTCCCTTCAAATTCATATTTTCTTCAACCTTGCAGGGGTACCTTCCGCGAAGCGTTGTGTTAGACAAACTGCTTCCGCGAGCTTCCTCGGACGTGGGTTTACAGCATTAAGACGCATTTCGCTTCTGCGACCACAGTTTCGGCTTAGTTTTTCGAACCTGCTGCTTGCGCGTTTGCTTGCTTATTTGCGTGCTCCCTTGCTGTCGAGAGTGGAACGTCTGGGCATTTGGTCGGGTTGGCGGCCTTCGAAAAAGCAACTGGTGGGAAAGGTCGGGCGCCGCTTCCGCGAAGCTTCCGCGAAAATCCGCGTTTGGGATTCTGCTTTTTGGGTTCGCCATGACTGCCTGAACGCGCGCGCGCAAACCTCTCTCTTTCACCCGCCCTCCCTAATCGGACGGAGTAGCTTTCAAATATAGGCAACGAGCACAAGATGACCCTCATAGGGCATACATCTGAATGGATCATCTACATCAATAAAGTTGTTCCTACAGACCGCCTCTGCGAAACGTAGTGGCACAAACAAGGAAGAGCTTAAGCATGGAGCAGCAATATTCCGGCCTCTGTATGTACTATTAGGAGCGACAAGGCACTGTCCATTCCAAAAGGAACGAAACATGTGGAATCCGGCAGCTATGGCTGACAATAGACACTAACTAACTGCAACAGCCTTCAAGAATCACAAGCAAAGGCATTTGGGCGCAACACAAAATCATGGTCGAGTCCTAAAGCCTAAAGACCTTTCTTTTACACGAAAGACGCTGCAAATGGATTTGCATTGTTTCTTATCGATTTCACCCAATTGCCTCATAGGCTCATAGGGAAACAGGACACACATTTCCCAAAGCGCATATCGGAATGGAAAGGACGCGGATCCGGTAGACAGAAACGACGCGATATGTTCTCTTCCGTTTAACTATGTTTCAGGGAGGCTTTAGTAGTTGTTCAACCTCAGCTCTAGCATTCACTTGGAACTGGCGAGTCACCGTTGCCAACTCCAGACATAGCCATCAGGACACCACTGTTGGGCAATGGCTGCCATATGGCCGCGCTGGGGACTTACTCCGTGGGCAGAGACGCAACAGTTGACCAAGCCTCAAGAACCCGAGCGGAACCCACAAATCAAAATGGGCCTCGGGCCGAAATCGGCGAAGCTGACGAAAGCCAGGACATGGGATTCACAGACGTCCTGGTCTGCCAAGTTTTGAAGTTGGGCCTTGCCCAAAATGACGAAGATAACCTTCGAGGGGGGGGGGGTTACATACTAATACGGGGTCAACATCACCTACAAACAACAAGTCTAAAGCTTGCCAACTAAGGTAGAGAACATCACAACTCTTCTGCAGGCGGGCACATAGAACGGTTTTCTGAATCATGCCGAGCTTCCTCCAAGCTGAGGAAGGGAGATGAGAGAAGCAAGCGCCCCGGCGGGCGATCTGACCTGTCCACTCGAGAGTGGCTGAGGTAACTTTTCCAGAGCTTTTACTTCACTCGGCCAAACTTTGACCCGCGAAGGCTTCACGTGTTGCTGGTGAACGGTTGAAATGAAAGAAAGCCAGGGCCAATGGGGCGATGGCTTCCAAAGCCACCGTGGTCACCATGGATTGTGCCTGTCCCATTGTGCATGTGTGATTGCATCGACTGGCAAGGAACAACAACTCCAATGTCTCTTCCATTCCCTGATCTCATTCTTCTCGGCAGCCTTCTGCATGGCCAGCCAGTCAAACCAAACACACCACCAAAATAATCCAAATGCCCTCTCTCACCCTATGCATATATATATATATATATATGAGTTAATGGGTAGAATATGGGTACGAGTAGTCTCTGTTCAGGTACCCCCCCCAAACAAGGCCCAAACAACAGCTTGAGCACCTCTGAAACCAACTTGTATCTGATTGGTGATTGGGAGCCCTCAAGAAGAACCAGTGGTTGATATCCAGATAAAAACCACCAATCCGAACCACCAACCTGACGTGCTACCCTCCCAACAATTAACACTATCAATCCGAACCACCAACGTGACGCGCTACCCTCCCACAACAATTAGCATTTTTTGACAGGGGGATCTTGCAAGACATTTTCCTTATGGGGGGACCTGCGGCCAGGTTCCAAATTGGGGGGAGGTTACCTGAGAAACAACCCGAGGACCCAAAAGAAAGGGCGGCGCCTCAACAGCTCCACCGCCAGCTGCGCGGCTGCAGCGGCGCCCAGGCTGTGACCGAAGAGGTTCACTGACTCCGGGGGCCTCAGGACTATGCCAGCTATCTACGCCTCTACGCCTTATACTTCATGATTTGATGTTCGGCGTCTTTCTTGTGTTGATTTGGGGGTAGTAGAACTTCTGCTGTTTCCCCTGTTTGGAGGGAACGAAGCAGGGGAATCCCTTAAAGGAAGCCACAAGGGATGGTTTATATCTTTAATTCCCTGCTGAGCACCAGCAAGAAAAAACAACTAAGGGAACCAGAACTAGAGTTGGACCTCTTGATCTTGAATGGAGCTGTCGGAGAGCCGATTTGCTTGCCGAAACGGTCATTTGGCACAGACTTTGATCCCGGAAAACGAAAACGACACAAACAAAGCCAAGCTTGGCACCCAATTCATCTGCCCAACCCCCCCCAAAAAAAACAAACAAACTCGCCAAATGAAGGAGCTTTCCCCTTTGGCTTCTAAAATGAACTGTGGCAAATCCCAACCGCTACTGACGGTGTACCCAAACCTGCTCACCGCAACATCGATTCCCCGAACCCACCTGAAACCCTTGGAGCGAATTTTGGGGAATCCCCGGAATCCCGCGAAACTCTCCCTGAAAGCTCCGAACCACTCCAGAGCCCAGGCAAAAAAAAACAAAACAAACAAAAAAACGAAGCCATACGAACCTCACCCTTTCTGAGACAAACCCACCTCAGGCCGGCCTGAAGGTTGCCCAGCAATAAAACCGAAGCCAACTGCCCCGAGAATGAAACGAGTCGCGCAGGGAGATGCTCCAGCACTCGCTCCAAGGCTCGCTTCGAGGCTTCGAGGACTGAGCCAGGCGATGGCTCTCCACCTTGCGCGTGCACGCGGCTGAAAAACATCGCGGGGGACAAGTGGCGGGAAGGGCGGCCAAACGGAAAACCATTCAGCCTACGAATCCGAAGGAAAACGCTAAAACACGAGGTCTGGCAAGCATATGTTATGCCTCTGGAGAGGCTCACTATTCCCTTGGACCTTGCAAAGGTGAGTCATTTCATAGCCATAGCTGCTTGAAGACTGGATGTCATGCAGCCCCACAGAACAGTCTTCTGTTGGCGGACGGAATGGGCGTGCGTTGACCTCTGCTTGAAATAGTTTGGCCAAGGAAATGAAGCGAGCTCGATCGTGTGGGTTGAACCTTGTGTGAGTAGTGACGGCACCATCATGGCATGTTGTGGGTTTCAAATTGATGACCCCTGTTTGGATGTTCAAAATGCCCAAGGGGCTCTCCCCAACCCATCATGGTGTGTGTCGTGCTGGGCCGCTGTTGTCGCCATAGCCAGGGTAGTCCACGAGGAGGAGGCTCGGCTTGCCCACGGAGCCATCCTCTCGCAGGAAATTAGCTGAGGTCTTTTCGCAGCACCATAGATTTGTGGGTGTGTCCTGTTTTGAGGGTACCCCCTTTTTTGCTTGTTTGGTGGGTTTTAACCGGAAACCAAACGGTTAAAACCACCACTTGTGTTTTCCTAGAGGGGTCCCAAAAAAAAAAAACGCCGGAAGGCAAACATGGTTGTGAAATCCATGTCGCACCACCTAAGAAACCATGGAATGCTGACTCCCTTCTAAGCACCAACAAACAATGGTTTGCACCATGGCTTCAAAGTGGTGCAGGATTTCGTCCATCCACAGAAGGACCATGATCACGCCCAACATCTTCACTAAGGCGCCCCGTTGGTCGATTACCAAGTCATTGAATCATTTTGGCCTTGGGCCAACCAACCATGAGCATATCTTCCTGAGGGGTCTCCCCGTACCACGCCCCAAGCTGCTTTAGGGGCGTCAGGACATGTTTTGAGGCCCCAAATTCCAGCAGGACCCTTAGGGTTATTGGAATCCCTTGAGCCAAGGGCGGCCGGCTGTCCGGCTGTCCCGTCCTTGGACGACAGCACCCGGTCGCAGAAGGGCAGCCAATCAACCGACACCATGGCATTGCCACCTCGATGCCCACCCGCATTGCGAAAACGGGCAAGGGGCTGGCCTCTGAAAAATGACAGGGCTGGAACAAAAACCTGCATCCCCTTCTGACATGGAACGAACACATATATAACTACATCCCCTTCCGGCTGGCTTGGGAAACAGGTTGCGGGCCAAGGCGCCCAAGGTTGAAGCTCCAAAAGGCATGAGAGGTCCAATGAAACAGATCCCAGCTTCAGTCCGTCCAAGCCGGCCGAAGGCACGTCAACAAGGCGTTGGCTTTTTGGATGCCATCAGCATGCAACCCTTTCATTGCTGGCCAAACTGAAGCTAGAGCCTGGAGCCAAACTTGGACCTCGGTCCCTGATGTCCTTGCGTTGTAAGGCTATTTTCTTGGTTGCTGTTGACCACCCTGCAAAAAGTTTAACTGTTTGAGGGCTTGGTGGAAAACACCGTTATTTCAACCAAAAGTTAAAGTCTAAAAATCCAACCCAATAGCAGTCAAGTTTTGCCACAATGCGGGTGTGTCGAGAGCCGACTCGTTTGGCCCACTGCAGCTGAGCTACCAAAGACCAGCCAAAGCGGCGACGGCCTCTGTGGTTCAGGCCTCACCTCATCGGAAATCTCCGGATTCTCCGTCCAAAAACTCAGCTTCCCCGGACCCAAAAACTGCAAGTGATCACCTCTGGTCACTAAAAATTCACCACACTACTCCCCGCAAACATGGCTTGGTGCATAGGCATTACTGGTTGACGACTTTCCCTGTAGCATGTGCACATCCAGGGGTCAGCAGGGGGGCTCCGGGCTATTGGCGATAGGACTGCCTTGGTTAGGATCCATGGCCAAAGCAGCTGCCGGCCTGGGGCAGGGCCAAAGAAGAAAAACCAAAGGACCGCCACGCACGCACGCACACAAACAAAAACGGACGCACAAACACAGCGATGCGCAAACACAAAGACACCAAGACACCAACGACCGAGGCATCCCTGGGCCACGCACGGCTTTTAATTTCACCCGGAACCTGTGCACAGGGTTGACTAAAGTGACTCGTGGTCGATTGAGCAGTGGCCACCCCTCCCCCTCTCGACGTGTTCGCAGTAAGGTTCCGAGGTCTACGGAACAAACACGAAACGCTGAGTGGAGCACCAACAGCGCTGTCTGTTGGCCCTTCGACGTGTAGTTCAAGGCCTGCGAAGACAGGCAGTGACTGCGGTGCCATAGCCACTTCATCACTTTAACGGACAGAAAATGTGACAATTCACGAGTTCGTGCCAAGACCCACGAGCATTCACAAAGCCTGGGAACACGGCTGATAGAGTCAATACGCAGCAAGCCCCAACATGCACCATGCAGGAGCCTAATCCTTTCCGTGTTGCCCTGTCACAATATGGCATTGACATCATATCTACTTTGTAGGTTGAAACGGGGATTACCTTGGCATCACAAAAAGCAGCGAAAATCGCTCATATGACCACTAATTCTTGCTTCAATTGAAACAACCAGCCAGCGAGCAGCCCAACATGGCCACGGGCTCTATAATTTTGCGTCCATGCAATCAGCCTTTCTCACTCGCAAGTTTCCCACATGCATGATGGCAAAACATGGGCGACGCGTGGCAGAGCGGTCTTATAGCTCTGGCAGGACTATGTCCAGCACATCTGTCCGAAGAATGAACCTAAAGAACGAGATTCTCACGTCAGAATAAAGATGAGATCGCCACATCCGAAAGCCAGAATCCGAATTAACCGCTGACCTCTAAAACTTGCAAAGCTGATCGGAGGGGCCTGCAAGACAATTCGTTCATCTCAAAAATACGTGTTGTGTCACTTCCATTTGCCTAGGCCCACTGGATAGATTCCCTTTAAACCGGGAAAAAAAAGCAAAACATACCCAATGTCAGCAAATGGAAGGTCAGCTTGAATGTTTCCCCTTTGCGTGACCGCGTGGCGCACGACCCCCGCCCTCTGTCCTCCACAGTGTACCCGTAGCGCTGGAGGTGCTGCGTGGCTTGCGCCAAAAGCGCCTCATAGGTCCTCAGTGTGCTGAGTAGAGCCGAGTCGTGGAAACGGTTCTCCCAGGCTCATTCCTTTGCTGAACTGGCTCAAGAAAACGGACCCAGGATCGAAGCCCGGTACATGGAACTCTTAACTATAAATCTGCAGTCTGGTTCCGTACTTCTGAGCCATAGCCAACTGGCCAGGCTCAAGTTACCACTTTGAATATACTCAACTGAGCAAATTACCATTCAGAAACTCACAAGCCAGAGTTAAGGAACTTCGAATGGACATTCACCACGAATAAAGAGCAATTTTGCCGCTGAGAGCGACTCTTTCGATAGGTGAACTCTGAAATTCCAGGGGATCCAAGAACTGTGGCGCCTCCGTCTGTGGAGATTCCTTAGCGAACCCATGAACTACTTGGATTTCCGAGGCGTGAGGGCATTTCTCCTGGCCTCTCGGCCGCCAGGGCGACCGCGTGGTAGGTAAGCAAATATGCCCAGCAACAGGTTCTCGGAACTGACATCTGACGTAACTTGAAAGGCCATCAAACTTGGCATGCCCCCAGTTTGAAGAACATGCAAACATGTCGTGCGATACCGCGGGCGACACTTCTTAACCCCACCCTTCGCCCATCACCCGTTTGGTTTTTTGTGGAAAGAAGCCTTGGCGGAAAAATCGGCGAGCCCCCACGTCTCAGACCGAGGAGCGGGTTGCCATGAATGGGTCTTGGGTGATAAAGCCTTAGAGGTCGGCGACGTCAAGCTGCCGACCAGCTGCAACCAGTTGCAACTAGTGGCCCAGGTAGAAAAAGGGTTTGTGATTTGAACATTTGAGGGGTCCCTTTTTGGCGGTTTTGAAGGACCGAAGGACACACTAATTAGATGGAGCGCCAATGCCAACAGGCACCCTTTTACCTTGAAACATATCTCACTCGAAGGCACAAAGCTCGTTTCAACAAATATATCAGAAAGCTGCCAAGAAGTTTGAAGATGCCAACTCAACTGGAATGTTAACACGCCAACAAGGTGAATACTGCCGTGGGTGCATCGACATTTAAACACATACCAAGATTCAACAAACATACTGCTACTGTGGATTGACAAAATCCTGCACAACACAAACCAATAAAACCCTACTGTGGGTGGACGAAATCCTGAACCACCCAAGAATCCCTGGAATGATAATTCCCCTGTGAATGCCAACAAACAATGGTTTCCCATGCTTTCAAAGTGGAGCAGGATTCCGTCCACCGACAGTATGACTGCTACGACAACTCATCTCCCAACTGGTGCGAGGTGATTTTGTCCCTCCACGCCACTGGCCTCCATATTTTCTTGTGCAGCCAACAACTTGCTGACTTGGATGCCACCCTGTGAATACTGGGTGGGTCTCAAAGAAGGGGGGTACCTCAAATTGGGTAAGTTCTTCTTGGTTTTCCTTTAAACCAACCCTCAAAAGGGGCCTCACTTCTCGAGTGGATCCTCACTTCCTGAGTGGATAAAAAGCTTCAAGGGCAGGAACTCGGGGAGTGAGGTACCCTCGCAAAAACGGACACACCCTAGGTGGATTTGGTCCACGGACGCTGAGGGAGGCACAAGGCGTTCTGGAGCTTTACCGCCACCCAGCGGATGCCCACGGCTGCAATTCCACAGGCGGCCGCCGCTACCAGTACCTGGAAAAACAAAAAAAGTGAGCGCTTAAAACCCCCATGGACCTTAGGTGGAACCCAACATTTCTTTCCAACGCTGTATTTGTATATTGTTTGGCCTTTTTTTTCCATGGGCCTTACTATAACTGCCATTCAATCAGGTAGAGCCATGTACTAAAATTTGCCAGAGGTGTTGGGCGCTGCGAAATATCTGGACTGCCCTTTTAACCCTCAATATTAGCCTTCAAACCTCGCCTATGGCCATTTGGACCCCAAGCAACCACGGTAGTTGTCCCGAGTGTTCCTCGCGTTTCCCTTATATTCCATGGCCAAGGTTGCCGTATCTATTTTTCTGGGCACCCCGCAGGGGTTAACTCCCAATCATGGCCACGATGATACTGGAATGATGCAATGACTCCCCTGGCCAGTGGGCTCTCAATCAGCATGCTCAAAACGCCGTCTCCGCCACGCGAAAGCATGGAAGCCTGCTGGCACCTTGGAGGACTTTGTCCGCAGACTTGCTGGAGAGTATGTGGGCGTCCAAGTCTCGCCCCTCCTTTGTCAAAAGCAGCAATCCAAATCCACCGCCATGGGTTTGTCCCTACATCTGGGAACCCCCTCATTTTGGGCGGGTGTCCCGTCAAACCATCCCACAAAAACCTGAAAAAGAAAAGAAAACAAAAACCACAAAAAACAAATGGAACCACCGAGCCCCCGCCGAAAGCTGGTGCCCCCTCCCGGGGGCACCCGCCGGCGCAGGGCATGGCTTGGAACCACGGAGACCCGTTGGGAGGACGTCCCAGGGGCCATGACGCGCCGCGAGCGGGCCGAAAGTTGCCTAAGGAAAGCGAGCAACACATGGATCTGTCAGCTCACATGTATGGATGTATACTTTATACAAGTTGCTTTTTACACATATATAGATGTATACGTATATGTGAATCTGTGTGTGCATGCATGCCAAATTCTATGTGATCTCATGTGTAGACTTTGCATCCCTCTCACGAGGCAGCTCTGCATTTCCGGGAAAGGAGTGGACGACCGACACATCGGGAAGCTGCCTTGAGGCAACGAAACAACTTCTCTTAGTACATCCACCAGCAAACATGTTTGTTCTTCCAGGGCATGAGCCACCCAGCAAGTCTGAAGCTCACCCCCCCAAACCACAAACCAGAGATCTAGAATTGGCCCCAAGTGACTAATAATGACTAAAATCACTTCTTCTCCTCGTGCGATTATATTCCCCACATGGTTGCGCTGTGCATATTGAGTTCTCCCTCGGCATTTCTGATCTTAAGCAACAGAGTCTTCTTTCACGAAGGAGCGGCATTTAGGTCAGCACTGCGTTTGTCTGATAACAACAAAATCGCTATTGGAACCCAGTTGGTCGTTGCTGTTCCCTTTCAGGCAGCCCCCCCCCCCGCCAAAAAAGAGAAGAGATCACAACACAACACAACAAGCAAAGGCAAAACCGCTAAACAGCCACACCATGGGCAACAAAAAACATGGTTTTTGCCTGCAACCAAAAGAACCCCCTCAAACACACCCACAACGTGCCATGCGGTTTTCGTGGTTTTGCCCCATTTTGCCCCAGGCAAGACCAACCCCCAACCAACACCCCCCTGGTATGATGGACACGGGTCCCCCAAAAGAACCCCCCGGCCTCCCAAGCGGGCGGAGCGGCCCGTGGCTGCCTGGCCACAGCCCCTGGCGTGCAGCTCCGCCAAGGGCACCTGGCGCAGCTTGGGCGAGCGCTTTGCACGGAGCTTTGGCGAGCGGTTTGGTTGGCGCCCGGTTGGTTTGGCTTGGCTTGGCTTGCATTGTTTGTTTGGTTGGTTGGGGTAGCGCCTGTTTGACTGCGCCAGCTGGATTTCGCAAATCAAAAGTTGATCAAACTACTGGAGGATTGCGAATTGAAATCGCCACTGTGGGAGGTTCCAAAAAGGGACATGAAGGAAACACAGTTTTGAGGGTGGCGCTTCTTCTCCGCGCGAAAACTGAAGAAGCTTGCAGGCCACCCTTTAGCCTTTCTCGTCCTTTTGCAACCATAGGCTCTTGGTTCCACTTGAGTGCTGTCCAACTTCAGAAGGTGGTTTTCCTGGTTTCCTTGTTGAACCAGGCGGAGGATTGAAGGCATGCGGGGAGTGGTTGGCGGTGGGCCAATGCCTTGATCAAACTGTTTCGCAAGCAACTCTTGGCTTCTAGGGAAGCTATATAAGTAGGGGCCAAACAGGGGGGGTCGCCAGATTGAGTAGTCACCAGCTTGCTTACGCGAACCCTCTGCGAACCCCAGCTGGGTTAGCCGAACTTAGCCGAACCTAGGGGGGGTTAGTGGAGGGTTAGTGGGGTGTCCCGCGCGTAGCCAGCAGGCACCAAAGCAATGCGATCCTTTTTGCGTCAAACCAGGCAGCCATCGTCTTTCAGTGGCTCACTAGAATCGGGGCCTGTCGACACACGATGCATCATCGGACAAACAACACAACACTTGAGAATCACAAAAAGACAGTGGATGGCCTGCCTGATGGTGTGCTTGGCCCAATGGATGCGACCAAGCCTCAGCCATCATCCAGCTCCAGCAATAAGCACATGAGCGGGTCATGTTGGTGAAGTCAAGCCATGCACTAGCGTACGCGTGGGCAAAATGAGGACCGCTCCCTTGCAAATCGCCCAAAGCCTGGGCGTGAGGGATGCTTGTGAACCGCAAAACCATGGTCAACTGTCAAGGCCACGGGTTGGTGTGTTGCAGGTGGCTGGTGCTCGGGCGTTGGGTGGTTTTGCTGGTGGGTTTTGCAGCGGTTGGCTTTTTGCAGCTGGCTCGTTTGTTGTCGACGCATTCTTTATGAACCTGTTCTGCTGTTGGCTGGCCTTAGATGGACATATTTAATCAAAAACACCACCCACACAACCACAAACATAAACACCCACCCACCCACCCACCCACCCACCCGCCCGCCCGCCCGCCCTACCAGCCACCCACCCACCTGCTCCACCCAACCCACCCGCCCCACCCACCCACGCCCACCCACCCACACCCATCCACCCACCCACCCACACCCACCCACCCACACCCACCCACACCCACCCACCCACACCCACCCACACCCACCCACCCACACCCGCCCGCCCACACGCCCCGCACAAACCCGCCACACCGTGCCACACCCTGGCACACCCACTCGCCCACACAACTAGGCGCCAGACACGCTTGCCCTTTTTTCCAAGGAGCTGCTCATTTGAATGATTGGGCTGTATTGCGGGGTTTATATCCCTGGTCCTTGGTCCCTGGTCGTTGGTCCCCTGGTCTTTGCTTGGTCGGCGCCTTGATCTTTGGTATCATTCGTGCTAGGACACACACGGTAAAGACACGAGCGCTCTTGGAAACAAACATGGAAGCCAAGCATGTCCCGAATTGTTGGCCAGTGCTCTGTCCAAAACGATCTTGCGGATGCACCCCTCACACCCCACTCTCCCACACCCCCACACCACCACACCCCCACACCCACACTCCTTATATCCCTGCACATTTCATTATTGATGTTGAACCAAGATTGCGCTTCTGACCGTGGCTGCATCGCTGAACATAGACCAATCACAATGGACAAAGGCAAACAGCAGCAGAGTATCGCAATAGCATTGCTGCTACTCTAAGCTGGCAACATGGCAGAATCTGATTGACGAAGGCCGAGACGAAGCCCTGCGAGCAAATGCCAGTGTGTGAGACTTAATTAGACTGAGCGCCAGGCTTGGACCCTCCTTGCAGTTGATGGACCACCTCGGACTCCAGATAAACAAAGCAGGACAGGGAAGCATCATGAAGACATGCTCTTTTCGCCAGCGCTTGGCACATTTTGACTTACATCGCGTGCTCGACCTGACAACCAAAAAAACCTATAATCACGTGGCCTTTATGCAGGGCAAAGCCGTGAGACCACGGCGTGACTCAATCCGACTCAACGTCGCTCAGACCGCCCTTGCCACTCTTGGGCTTTTGAGGGCTGGACATTTTCAACTGCTTGGCCCCTGTTTCAGGAGACCCTTGCTTCTTGGTTGTCTTCCGGCTCTTCCGTGGCGGGGTCTTGACTTCAGGCTTCTCGTCTAAAGTCCCAGCGTCAGCGCAGTCCTTCAGAAACAGCGGGCCAGCAATCTTGATGTCCGGGGACTTTTGCAACAATGACGAGACGCTCAGGGAAACCAAATCCCTCTTCAGGACTGCTTTGGCGAACGAGTGACCGAGGACCAGCTCTGTGTCATCACCGCAGATGCAGTCCGGGAGTGGCAGGACTTCTCCAGTGGGGACAAACCGCACGACCTTCTCACCGCTCTCATCATCCTCCAATCGCCAGTAGCTGTGGGCAGACCAGAAGGCCTACCGGGCAAAGCCCAAATTTTCAAAATGCGACAAGCCCTAACATCCAACATTAAGCACTATTGAACTACAACATGTGACACGCGGCATTGGTGGTGGATTGGTTCTGCTTCAGGCCTGTGTGGTTGCATCCCCGTCTGAGTCAAAGAGCCAGTCTTTGCAGCGCTCCCCATTGCGGACCCAGCGGTCGCGGAAGTAGTCCCTCAAAGGCCCAACCTTCTTGGTTGGCAAGGCCGAGGCAGGGTCCATGTTGGTGAGATATGCCAGGATTGACCCGAGGTCGGCTTTCGGCGTCTTTTTCGGCAAGCTCTCAATGAAAGCGCCCATGGATGGAAGGAAGCCGGACACGAGCTTGACCACGTTGTCCCTGGACAAAAGGTGGACCTTGTTTTGATAGGGTGGGAGCTTCTCCTCGGCCTCCGATTCGTTCTCCGACCCCGAATCCCAGGACCCTGACCGCACCTGACAGAGCATGGCGCTCGTTGCCTCAGGATGCTTCTCGCACCAGTCCATGAGTTCCTTCAAGTTAGCCTCCTGCGCGACCTGAGCTTGCCAGTGGGCATTATCCTTGCCCATGCGCTTCTGCTTCTGCAACAACTTCAAGTCCTTCATCGTCTCGGCTTTCTTGAGCTGGCCGGCTTTCTTCCCAGCCATGGCCACAAATGATTAAACGCTACAAAAGTCAGGCCTCTCTGACAAATGCCTGAAGCAGCAAATGGCGAGATGCAAACATGCTCTTGCGCCGCGCGATGGCATGAAATGTGAGACAGCATGCGCATGCGTGCTCGCTGACACAAGCACGCCGCAGCCTTTGCGACGCTCAGAGCGTGGCCCGTTGACATTGACCGTGCTGAATCTCCAGACCTTGGGGCAGCCCTGCGTGCTCCCTGCGCTGCGTACACCCAGACACTGTGGCCACTGCAACCTTGACCTCTTCGGGGAAGGCGGCCGCACAACTAGCCCTATGACCTGTGACTCGCGCAAGATGCCTCCACGGACTGCGCGCATTGCAGGGTAAAAGCCTGCAAGCAGGCAAGTGAGATTAAGCAGGCAATCAGATCAAGCCAGTCAGCAAGCATGGCTGCAACAAAGAACGCAGTGTGCAAACTGCCCGGAATCTTTTTTTCGCGTGCCACAGGCTGCAAATCTTACCTCTGCCGGGCTGAAACAAGAACACGTGGCTGTGAGTTCGACCACTGCTATCGACAACTTATTTTGTTTCAAGCTGCGCTTGCCATCCTTAACGTTGGGCGCTGGAATGCTGCAAGCTGTTTTTGTTGCGGCTTAGGCTCCTTGTGATAATGAACAGGTTTTCCCGAACGCCAACCGAACAAGTGACCTGACACATTAAGCTGCAAGTTTTTCCCTGAAGCTATTTGAACGTTAAAGGTAAATACAAGTGGCCAATGGAAACAACCAAATAGACGACTAATTATACCAAAGCCAGCCTCACAGGCAGAGTCAAGCAGGCCAACTGAAAAATCAACTTGAATACCCTCCCCAAACTTATGATTAAAAGCAAAGGGATGGCAACATGTCGGAGATTCAAAAATTTTCAGCTTTCCGCAAAGCAGTTTTCAAAGGCGAAGTGAAGGCAGCCAATTAGCTGATTGGAACATCGACTTGAAAATTTGCCCCGGAAGCAGCCTAGATGAAAACGTGCGGGCAGCCAAGTGGAAACGGAGGCAGCAAACTGGCAAATCTAATCATGGAAGCAAAGTCAAGGCGGCCAACTGGGAAATTAAATCGAAAGCTTTCCTTAAAAGCAGTTTTCAAGGCACAGTCAAGCGGCCAATGGCAACATCCAATTGCAAGTGTTCCACGAAAACAGCCTTAGATGAAAAGAGCAGGCAGCCAAGTGGAAGCAATTCAAATTATTTTTTTGAAGCGAAGGTAGCCAATTGGAAAACCAAGCTGGAAGCCTTCCCCAAAGACCCTGCTGAACGGCAGCCAAATGGAAAACAGACCCGGGAACTTCTTCGAAACAGTTATTTGTTTTATGGCTTTCTTATTGTAGACCACTCTCATGCCACGACATTCTTGAAGTCGAACGGGCACTGGCAGTTTGGGTGAAACATTTTGTGCCTCTCCCAGGCGCCTTGCACAACCGATTCCACTGGCGTTGACTCATTCCCGCTTGGCCCCCAAGACCTGCTCATACTCCATCCACTTTTGTGGAAAATCCGCCAACACTTGTTAAAAGTGTCACGGTAGCACCGATAAGAGCCATCTGGCAGCCACGCAGACACACGCTCTGCATCGAAGACCCTGAAACTTGCAAAGTTGACCGGCTTTCGCTTGACAGCTTTTGCTTTGGACCCTGCTTTGCGCACGCGGCTGATTGCCCCTGCAACGTCCAAAAATGCCTGATGAGAGGCCTTGGCTTGCTTCAAGGCATCTTGCACTTCTTGTTGGTCTCGAGCGTGAACGAGTTCTTCGAAAGCTGGCTGCTTCAGCAAATCGATGAGGTCTTGTTTGTCGTCCGCGTGTCTATGGTGCAAGTTGCTCTCCATGATGTCAGCAGCCTTTTCTGGTGAGACCTTCAGCGCCTTTTCAACGCAGACCCGCAAAAGTTCCCCTACGAGATGACTGTCTTGGACCGCGGCATCCTGGGCAAACTCTTCTTTTGCCAAGAGCTTCAAGATGCTGGCTGGCAAATCCCAGTATGCGTGCTGGGCACTATACTCCAGAAGCGGGACCTTATTGCGGGAATCTTCGTCTGACTTACACACCAGCGGGAGAGCAGACAGGTCTCTCTCTTTGTGCCTTGCAAACATGTGAAGTGGGCTATACGTGTCTGATGGCAACACAGACCAATCCGTGAAGCAGGAGACCTGCGCCCACACAAGTGATGCTGTGGATAAAGCAGCATCGGCAAGACTCCATCCATATTTACATTCCTGTAAAGGGACTAGCAACACACCACTGTTGCCAGGCCAAACGCCCAAAGACAGACAAGGTCGAGGCCAGGACTTGTGCATCACCACCAAGCCCTGACGCAACAGAGTGCTCCGCCACGTTGCTGCGAGCTTGCCAATCGAGTCGGAGTCCTTGGCGTTGGCTAATAACGTCAGCTCGCAGGCAAGGCCCCCTACACCTTGAGGTGAAAGGGAAGGCCACACCATTTGTTTCAGGATTCCTTTCAGCACAGGCGAAGTGGGCTGCTTACGCTGGATGTGGTAAACAGACTCAGGCAAACTGACTGCTGGCAAGGTCGTATCTGTGGCGACCTCGTGAAAGCCAGAACCCTCCAAGACCTTTCTGAAGGAAAGCGTTTGCCACACCTGGCATGATGTCATGTCATGACCTTTGTTTTCTGTGGACTCTGTTTCACGAAGTCGGGAGAAACCTTCCTCATTCCACGTGCACCCGAAGCCACTGAAACAATCATCCAGAAAACAACGCAGACCTTTGCTCAACTGCCACTCGCTGCGCTCAAGCTCCGCCACGACATCCCGCATGATTTGCAAATTGAACG